AACATTGAGTATATCGAACTCTTTTGTGTTACGATTGGCCTAATGGATGTGATTTGCCAGTATTATTCATTCGGAGACACCAAGGTTGAGTTGTGCAGGGATAAATCTCAAATCACTACCGATAATATAACCGCCACAACAAATACAAATAATTGAATTTAATTTTTAAAATGGTGGCAACACTTGCGAAAGACTTAAATATTATTCAAAACTTTCAAACTAAAGATTTCTTAACAATATTTCGTTAGACAATCATATTTTAATTCTTCAGATAGCTTGCGTATTATTAATTCAAATTTGATTTTTCAAACAGGTGGCAACCCTTTTCAAAATATATTCAAACTACAGCTTTTTTATGCCTCTTGACATGCATTTTTTTAATATAATTTTCAAATAAATAACTCCCTTAATTGAAGTTGAATTTGTTTTTTTTTAAAAGGCGGCAGCCCTCATCCATGAGTATATAATGATTTTATATATCTCCATACCAAGTTTCAGCAATCTATCAAAAATATTTCCTGAGAAATGCAATATGAAAAATTCCGTTTGCATGGGAGGTGCCAGGCCCCCTTGTCTAATCGGGATTAAATGTATCCTATATTTTAAGTTGGGCTAAATGACAGCAGTGTACAAAATTTCATGATGATCGGTTTAGTAGTTAAAGCGTAAAAGCGTAGCAAACAAACAAACCTACTTTCGGATTTATAATATTAGTAAGGATATTTCTTCAATAAAATTTAAAGCAATGGCAAAGTATTTTTTGCAATCGAAAGTAATAATGAAAAATATTTCTTGTAATTTTTCTTCAGCTGGAAACTAAGCTTAAAAATCAGAAAATTTGGATATTAAATTTCGCTTTTTTTAATATAAAACAATATTTTAATATGTATATTGTGAAAATTTGCAACAAAAATCGCACCATTTGTTAATCCAAATTTTCGCCTACGGCCCCTTTAAACACTATATTTTAGTATATTTCTCCAACGGCGTTTTTTCTTATAAAAACTATATATATAGCAACATTACTTCCGCCCTTTTTCCAGCAGCACAGAAAGGAGAATTCTACTTACTAAGGGTACATAATAAACAATTGCTTGTATCCACATCGTGGAACCTCAGCAAACGTGGCGTCTAGTAAGTAATGATTTTCAGGAATTTCTTTTCAAGGAAATAATGTAGGCGAAGCCAGCTTCTATGATAGTGTAAAAATGCCATTTATCATTGCTCCTTCAATGCTGGTCGTCTTGGCGTGGCGAAAGGGGCTTAAATGACGACATGGAAATTCCGCAAAGGGAGCTTCCAGATCGTGATGAACTAAGAGGAAAGCTTCATATCCTTTGCAATCGTGAGGGAAGCCAACAAACCAAACTGGTATGTGAGCAAACTTCCCGGTTGGAAAATATGTGGAGATAGCCGCACCAACAACACCCTAAGCCAAGGTGTTGAGGTACCCGTGCCGATGGCTGAATGGTCAGCGGATGTATATTGAATAGCCGGCCGCGAACGGTCCCCTCCGATGCCCGGGTAAGGTCGGAGATATAAGTGCCTTATCTACGTATGCCGGCTCTGCGGACGAGTGACGAACCCTTTCCGTGCATACTCGTGGGACCAAATATGAACGACCTAGACAAAAAACAAAAACAACAAACACAAACTGAAACCGAAACAAAACTGATGACGAACACTGCAACGAACACTGGACAATCGACTTTGGCACTTCCTTATCGGAACCCGGGCCCGTCGTTACGGAGTCCGATGAGGACAACCTTCTTGCCTCCAGTCAGGAGACAATCAAAAGTGTTCCTGGTTGTACCAACCATAGTACACCAGAATCACAAGCAGCAAAACATACCACATCTAAGGATACCAAGCCAGGCATCCCTACCAGCCATGACCTTCCGTCTTCCTCCAAAGCTGCCGGCAGTACCAACCATAGTACAACGACGGCGGGAGCAGGGCGGAAAAAGAAACATAAGAAGTCCCTGAACCAATTCAGAAAGAGCCGCTACCAGAGGGCAGTTCGGGCAATTCGGCTCCAAGCGGTTCCTATGAGTTGAAGGGGGTTGAATACTACAAAAAGTTGGTGGAGGAATATGAGAGCTCCTTAAAAGAGAAGCAATCTGCAAACCCCAATCCACCTGAAATAAAGCAAAAGGGCGAATCTCAAAAGAGAAATCGTTCCACCAACGACAGCACTACCGGCGGAGAGGGCAAGAAGCCTAAACATGCTTCTTCATCTGACCCCAACCCGCTGCAACGCGACTTTAGTGACGTTGCCAAAGACAGTCTGTTGATGGCCATAGTCGACGAAAACTCGAAGACTCCGGTATCTATGCAGAAGCACTGGGTGGAGATCGACGTCAAGCTATCGAGTCTCGTTATGGACTACGTCCTCGATAACACGGCGGGTCCCCATCCGGAGTTTGATTCCTCTGAATCCTTTCGAGGATACAGGGTTATCAGATGCGCGGACCAAGCTTCTTTGGACTTCTTAGCTGGGTGCGTCGCTAAAATAAGCGAAGCATTCGTCGGCCTTAAACTAATGCTGATTCCAGAGGCCACGTGCACTAGGCTGGGTAGATTTTGTATGGGGGAAAATAAAAGTCATTTGACCGCATTGTAATAGTAATATTATGATGTCTTAGGTCTAAGCCAATTGTTATTGGCCAAGAAAGATTAATTTAAAACTTATCTCTAACCCGCGCAATTGAATCAAAGTGTATGAATTTCGAAAATGAATGCGTTATTGTTATAAACAGGACGATACAGTGCTGTATGAGCGGGCAAAAATCAAAAAAATTGTTGTCACGTATGTCAACGTGTTTGGTATCGTTGGAAAGGAAATTTATCCTAGATTAAGGATCTGGACTTAGTTTTTGTTTTTATCTCATAAGGTTCTCACAAAAACCTCTTAAAGTTGTGTGTTTTTTATATATTTTTTCTTTTATGAAAATGCCTTTAGCTGGAGTCTTTAAAAAAAAAATTGCTAAAAATACAATTTATCATACTTTATCTTAAGACACAATTTTTCTAATTAAAAAATCTGTAAGGAAACCACTCTATAGAGCTTTTTAAAAAATATTGAGTTTCCTGGCTGGAATGGCCTATTTGCTACACCCTAAAATTTGTTGCAGAAAATTTAAAAAATTCCNCTGCAGACTCATTGCGCTTTTCGAAGAAAATCTTTTTTTTTTATGGTTATAAAATAAACTTTTGCAAAAAAAAATTTCACTGATTACAGTTACCACAGTATTTTCCATTACTTAAATGCCAAAACATTCTTTAAAAATAGTAAAGTTTATTACTGTAGACACACGCGGTAGTGGTCTGTGCTGTGTAGTGAAGCGTAAAATAGTGAAAAAACTAATATTAATATGAATTCAATTATAAAAAACTCAATTTTAGCTGATATCTGGATTTCTACTCGTCCATCAGATACAGTGTCCGCATTATCTGCATATTTTGAAGACAAATTAATACACGCCAAATGCGACAAAGCACTTTTGAATCAAAAAATAAAACTTTTTAATAGTGAGATGAAAAATAAGTGGAATTATAGTGGCCGCAAAAGAAGCGCTTTTGAAAAAACATATTCTAAATGGCTAAATTGGACATTCCTTTCCCTTCCGGATTCCAATGGAAATAAGGATAAATGTGCTGAACGGGGAAGACCTTCTAAAGAAGAATTTTGCGAAGCTTCACGGAGAACAAAAAATCGAAGGGTAGAGCATTTGTTGAAAAACTATTCCATCGAAGAGCTCGAGTATGCTCTGAAAAAAATTAAAAAAGCAAGCAAAGTTGAATGTTTTGAAAGTAGTACCGAAGGTTTGCCCATATTTGATTCACTCGCACTATACATAGATCTGAACTTATCAGATCGTAAATATAATAGTTTACGTGCAAAAATAAACCGGTTGCATAAAGATTGTATACCGAGCTTAAACGCATTGCAAACAAAAAACAAACTTTGCTGCCAACGATTAAATCGACTGAATATTCAGCCGAAGTTGATCTGAAATCATTATTGCTGAAAACAACGCAAAGTATTTTAGAACTAAGCCCAGATAATGGTGACATAACCAAAGCTTCTTTGGTTTGTAAGTGGGGCATGGATGGAAGTTCGGGACATAGCCGCTATAAGCAAAATTTTGGTGACGACAAATTAACGGATGAGTTTATGTTCATCATTGCTCTAGTCCCTCTGAGGTAACAAAAAATTATCTAATATGTCTTCCAAAAACATTCAATAGCCTTTAAAAATAAATTCGAGTTTAGATCAGTAAATGGCATTTTAATTTACATTGACAACTTTTTACAGTATTATTTTGCAAAAGGCTGGTCTGAATTAATTAATTTACTCGATTAGCTATTTTGCGATATGACGGTCTTATATCTTTTCGACAAGCCATATAAGTTATTAATAAATAAATATTTTTTCCAGGTTAATTGATTTGTCATCCAACAAAAATATATGGACCAATAACAAATGCTCATCGTCTTTTTATTGTCGTCCAATTAAGTTTAGTTTCAAGAAGGAAAACCGCGAACTAGTTCTATTCGAATATAATGATATGTCGAGAAAAATTGAGAACTTAGAAGATGATGTTGTAATACGAAACGGAAAAGGGATTCAAGTTTCTTATCAAATGCATTGCACCATGATTGATGGATCTGTTGCCAATATTTTGACTGGCACTAATGCTTCCAGTAACTGTTTTATTTGCCATGCCAAACCGACCGAAATGAATGTTACTAATTTTACAAAAGTACCAATCGCTAATCATTACAAGTATGGGTTGTCTACACTGCATGCTTGGATTAGATGTTTTGAGTGTTTACTCCACATCGCATACCGTTTAACATTTAAATGCTGGCAAGTTCGCAAAGAAAACAAAGACGCCTTTTCTGCGAATAAAGTTAGGATTCAAAAGATTAGGCTTAATAGTGGACCAAGTAAAGACTGGATTTGGAACAACTAATGATGGCAACACAGCTCGCAATTTTTTTTCAAATGCAGAAGTGGCATCAGAAATTACCGGCATTAATAAAGAGCTAATTCAAAATTTTTCAATAATACTGCGATTAATATCGTGTGGAATGTGTATTAATATCGACGCGTTTAGAGAGCTCCTTATAAGGACAAGAACAATGTATTTGACTGAATACGAATGGTACTACATGCCTAGCAGCGTGCATAAAATATTGATGCATGGGTGTGAGGTTATTGAGTATTTCGATCTACCAATTGGTAAGAAAATCGATTTGTTGCTATTCGGCAATTTTTACTACTACGAATTTATTCCCACAGGCAATTTTTCAGAGGAAGCTCTGGAAGCTTTACATAAACACATACGTATCGTACGATATGATCATACACGTAAAACTGCTCGGGAGCATACAAACAGAGACTTGATGTCATACTTAACAATATCATCAGATCCTGAAGTAGTTTTTAAAAGGAGTGCTATCCCAAACAAAAATGCAGTTTATACAATGGACGAGCTGGAAGAGTATTTAGTCGATGCTGAAGAAACTTAAAAGTAATAAGTACCCTTCAGTCAACTCAATTAGTTTTATACTAATCAAATACTAGTCAGCCACACGGCCTCAACTAGTTCGAGTTCTGTAATTTTTCCATATAAGCAACTGGCCGCGGCAACAACTCTTGTTCGTGCGAAGTAACTAATAAAAAGGAAAACAAAATTATATTTGTCTTTTGAGTATTTAATGTCGTCTTGAATGAATCAAATTTTTTAAGCGTGTGACATCCACACCAAAAGATATAATCAATTTAAAAAAACATTTTGTAGTCAAAAAGGACCAAAATGAAAGTAGCTGCCATTCCTAGAGGGTTTGCGTAAGAGAGATATAGGGAATCTTATTTGCCATGAATTAAGCCATAGAATGAAGCCTTGAAGTCTTTAATATTATTAGGAAAACGCCCTGTATAAATAATAAAATAACTACTCAGTATTGGAACTACTTCTGAATATCAAATTTTGCAGTTTCAATCTCAGTTTCCATGAAAAATGTAAGATTTTTGAAATCTCCGTACTCTAATCCACCAAGAAACGAATTTTTACTCATATCCGTCCATTATTCTATTTTTGCCCACTTTTTATATGGAGACACAGCACTGTGCGATATATCAAATTAAGGGCTATTAAATTTAGTACATCACGTTCATTTATCATTTTTCAATAAGTCTACACGTTTTTACGATATTAAGATAAAACTTACAAAAACTATAATTTTTCCTTATGAATTTTCAATTCTTCATTACTTCAGCAACCAAGTGAAATATACAAAAAAGTGAGACGAGATTTATTTCAACCGTTTTAATGTTTTCGGATGTTTATATAATATTAAAATGACCATGGACTTGGTCTCGCCGATTTGGTCAGTTTTCAAGATCGTGGTGAATGAATGTATTGTGAAAGATTAGGAATCGTTTAAGAAGCTAATAGTACTTTCAAGCATATAAGTATTTACATACATTAACATAATACAATTAGGGTGAGAAACGCCCATTTTAAGTCTATTTATGCAGTATTGAAAATTAGTGCGGAATGGTTTCATTAGTCACCGGAGAAGCACATTTTTCTCGGTTTCTAAATTTGCTGTTGTATGAAAGTAGGGGACGTGCAATAAGTGTTTAGATATACATAAATATTTTAGTTAATTCCATTATGTGAAAAAGTGTCTGTAGGTAAATGCAATAGTCTTTAACATATCCTGGGAAATCCTTTTGAGGACTCTCCAATTGGACGATATTGCTTTGCCTTCAGCTTGAACGAAAAAAGTCACTCGCTGGCACAGTTTTCTGTAATCCGGTTCTTTTATTTAAAGGTTATTTATTAGGGCTGTGCGATTAATTGATTACTCAAAATTTTAATTAATCATAAAGTAAATAACTCAATTATTCGATTAATTGGAAATTATGATTACTCAAAAGTTCAGTTACTCGAGTAATCAAGATTTTTGATTAACCAAAAACAAAAACATTTGAGTAATTTGCTTTATCATTAATCAACATTTCGAGTAAAATGAGTAATCAATATTTCAACTCTTTACATATAAAGTAGTTGAAGTTCCTTGATACTCTGAAAACATCGTTTCTGTTTTCAAAAATTGAAACGAAAAATTTTTTCATATACAGAATGTAAAAAAGAACAAGCATTTTCCAAAGTAAACTCTTTTAACGAGCAAAATTATTTTTTTTGAGTAATCATATTTCAATTAACTCGATTAATCATCGTTTTGAGTAATCAAAATCTTGATAACTCGAGTAATTGATTAACCGAATAATTGATTAACCAACTTTTTTTAGAAAAAAACTGGAAATCCACCTTAGTTTTTCGATAAAACCTTGGTAAATGTTACTCGATCGGTACGTAATAATTAACAAATTGAAGGCGAGACTTACTAAACAATCGTGGTACAAAGCTCAATAAAAATATTAAAAATAAAATGTTAACAAGCCACAATAACATTGACAAATACATAGTTTAGGAAGAGCCTGCCTGAAACTATACAAAAAAGCAAATAAGCAAATGGATGTATAGAATTGACAACAACAACCACGCTGTCGAGTTTAAATAGCGGCAAATCAGCTGCACTTGATAGTAGTTGGTTGAATAAGGAAAATGAATTAGCAACAAGAGTTTACGGGATGTACATAGCTCAGTGGTTAACGCTTCTGACTTTGAACATCGAATTCGCAGGTTCGATCCCTGCTGAAGTCTAGAAAAAGAAGTCTGATGAGGAGATGTGGTGATCTCCGAAATAGTGCTATAACTTCTACCGCTTAGACTTTGTTGCTTTTTCAATTTTTCCTATTAAACAATCGTGGTACAAAGCTCAATAAAAATATTAAGAAACTTATTACTATCGATTAGCTGAGTGAATTTTTTTAACAAGGGCGCTTGAATTCTCTTCTCTTATAAAAATCGGAGGAGGTTTGGCATTAGTAGCTTTTGCAGCACCTTCATAAATTTGGCTATTCACATCATCGGCATTGTCTCTTAGCAGTGCAAATCTATTCGTACTGACTTGCTGAGTTGAGTTTAGGCGGTTTATTGTTTTCTGAGACTGCTTTTACACAGTTCAAGTATTGAATTCAATTCTGCTCGCATGTGGAAGAGGGGGTGAGAAGTAAAGGGACGAGTACACATGCGTCTGTACCGTCAAGTCGTTTCAACTTTCTTGCTTTGCTTTTGGCATTTTCGTTGCTTCCCATTTAAAGAACCAAAAACTTGAATTCCACAGAATTGAAAACTGCCCGTTGAATTTTGCGGACTAAGTTTTCTTTTGTAACATAGCGGTCCATTCCAGTCTGTATGGCCGCATTTTTAGCTGTTTCGTTTTTCAACTTTTCTTGCGCTTTACCTTTGTTGCCAGTGTAAGTGCTTGCACTCAAGTCAATTTGTGCTTGTTCAGCAAGAATAGGCCAGGCTGTTGACATCGCTGTGCAGCCGGCAGGTACCGGTGTGTTTGTTGTTGTTGCTGGCGCGATTGTGGTAGTAAAAGATGTCACTGTACTAGTTGTTGTTGCAGCTATATTTGGGGATATGTTATCGCATACCGAATTTGATGTAAGCGTTGGGCGTGAAATGTGATACGGCACGGGTGAAGCGCACTCTTCACTCCAAGACATCGGAGTCGTCAATGGTAAGTTTGGAGGGCAAGTCCGCTGAATCTTGAGGAGGTTTGAGGGTGGTCGCTGGATTGGGCTTTGCGCTTTCGCTGTCACTCTGGCACCGAGTAGAGAAATATGCGTTGTTCGGTTGAACCGAAAGCCGGCGCTCATTTTGCTCGCGTGGCTTCTGGGCTCGGATTTCAGCTTGATTCATCGCTTTCTGTTTTCATTTGGTTTGTTTGTTTATTTATTTTATTTACTTTTAGTTTTTTATTTATTTATTTTGTTTTATTAAATTAGCACAATATTTAGTGACGTCCGCACTCTTCGACGTTCGAAGCTTACTCCAAAATTGAAATCGTATTTAGTGGCTTTGACAGCTGTTACCCCAACTTTGAAATTTCTATGTGAAATGCCGTTCACCCGAGATTGTTCCACACTCATGATAAAGGGAACCATTTTGTTGAACGAAATTTTTCGCCTTTGAAATTTTTCACCGGATATTCATCATCAGGCTGATTATGTTTTTTTGTTTGGCGACATACTTATGTATGACCAGATTATCTGCTTTTTCGAGCTGGATTATCCAATACGTAATTAAGAATAAAAAATTTCTCCCCTGAAATAAGAGTTATAAAATAATCCTGTTAAATATATAACTTTCACGTCTGCCAGGGTTGCAGATTATTTTTGGTAAATAGAGGAGAAACGGCAAAGACAAAAGATAAAGAACAATGAACGCCGATAAGCGAAAACGCGTGGTTGATGGCAATGCTTTGAGGAAATCAATCGCCAACAGCTCTGATACTAATTCCAGTTTTTGTAGTGATATGGATGGGCAAACGATGGGTAGACAAGACCGTACAAGAAAAAAGGCAGCGATTTAGAAATGGAGAAATATTTACAGCTATCACTTATACCCAATTAAGAAGATACTTTAATTTGGTGGAAGCATAATCGCAAACAATTTGTTTATACTGGCAATGAAGTATCTCTGCGCACCACCTTCCTCAGTGAACTCAGAAAGTGTGTTTAGTGCATCGGGTAGCATTTATGTTGAAAATAGAAATAGATTTTTCATAATGAAAAATATTAAAATACTTCAATTACTAATGGCATTTAACATTAAATTGGATTATAAAAATAAATTTCTGAACTAGATCTTTAAATTGAATCTTTCGAAATCCAAATCCGGAAACCCGGCCGGATTTTAGCTCTTATCCAGCCGGATGGTCGGATAACAGAAAAACGACCGGATAAGCCGTATTCCGGATATCTACCGGACACCCGGCACATCCCTACTGCCAACACCAAGTGCGCTTCTTCTTTTCACCAGCGGTGAAGTAAGGGTAGCCATCGGGAAGGCGAAGGCCTCCAAAGCCATAGGACCCGACGGAATTTGTATGTTGATGCTGAAAAATTTCAATGGCCACTCTCATCATTCCAGATATCTGAAAAATAGGGACAGTGGTCCCACTGCTTAAAACGGGGAAACCGTCCAACATAGGAGACTTATCGACCGATAACACTCCTTTCCCCGGTACCGAAGGCACTAGAGGCCCTTCCACTCCCGCACTGCACAAACCACTGCATCGCACTGCATCAGCATGGGTTCCGTAAAGTGCACAGCACAACAACAGCACTTAACGCCATAAGCATTCAGATAACTCGAGGCCTGAACCGAAAGCGCCCCTGTGAGAGAACGTTTCTAGTAGCGCTGGACCTGTCAAAAGCTTTTGACACCGTCAGTCACTCCACGCTACTGGAAGACATTCTCTCTCTCCACAGGGACTAAAACGGTGGTCGGCGAATTATCTGAGTGGTCGACATTCGTCAGTAATCTTTAGGGACACAACTAGCAAACCGATAAAAATTAAATAATATTTCATTTTTATATTTCAAAGTTGCCTCAACCACCAGAGGGAGTCACTATTGTCTCTTATGCTTCTGGGAATGGAATTGATGACTTGTGCTCGAAAGTAAACGGTTATCTCGCCGAGCTTTTT